TGTGCGTATATAAAGAAACAAATGTCAGACTTTGGAATTAAACAATAGTGTATTCAATATAAAAAAATAGTCTTTTAAATTCATTTGATTATTTTAGTGCGTATGTGTTTGAATTTGAGTTTGCAACAAATTATAATACTAATTTTTTTTTTCCTATATGAACGTGTTGTTTAAAAATATTAGGATTATAGTTAGTATCAATGTATGTAAAAAAAAAATAATACTATTTAATTTTGCGACAAATTTGTTTCCTAAATGCGATGGATGACCGAAACAAATGTATAACATATCTTCATTTTTAAAGTAAATTGAGTATTCAAATAATCGATTAAATGCGCAACAAATCTTGATGCATGCAATTTTCTGTATAAGATAGAATTCTCAATTTTTCTTGAATTATGTAAAATTTTTATTTGTTGTTTTTATTATTATTTTAGATCATATAAATTCGTATAAAATCTTGATGCATGTTATTTTGTGCATAAGATAATATTCGCAAATTTCTTAAATTATAGAACTTTGAATTTTTTTATTTTAAATCGATTAATTTCGTATCAAATCTTGATGTATGTAATTTTCTGTATAAGATAGAATTCTAAACTTTCTTTAATTATGTAAAATAACATACTACTTGCTTTAAAATAAAAGAAATAAGTTTATTAACTAAAGTTCAATAAATTAATACTTACCTTAAATATTTGTATCATTTGAATGGTAAAAGCCGTCATATTTGAGAACCGTGAGAACCGTATTTGATGCTATTTTTAATTCTGCATAATGCTATTTTTCATATTAGATGATGCTATCATTTTTACAAATGCTAACATAAATTGTGTTGCTATTTTTAATAAAATTCATCCTAGTTAAAAATAGCACCAAACACAATTAATCATAGCACTACGCACAATTAAAAATAACGGTTCTCACGGTTCTCACACTAAGACTTGGTTCTCATTTGAACCACATCCTATATATATATATATATGGATAAAAAAATATTTAAAAATCAAGTTGACTTGACTTTTTGGAAAGATTTCAAAAAATTTCAAACATTTTATTCATTAAATGTTTGACCGAATTTTTTGAAAGCAAGATTTTTAAAATTTTTTCTCATTATTGGCAGATTCACCCGTAGCATTTAAGGAAATCGTTGTCCATATTTTTAGGAACTAAAGTTTACACAATATCTTTCTCAAATAACAATTTTTTTTAAAATTTTGAATTCGAAATTTTATTCAGCCGTTATTTT